AAGACAAACATCATATGACGTAACTCATATAGATGAACATAACAGAAGGGAAGTAAAAATAATATAAAAACAGGGAGGGGGACAAAACATAATACTCCTAAATACAGAGAACAAACTGAGGGTTGCTGGAGGTGTTGGGGGGATGGGCTAAATGAGCAAGGGGCATTAAGGAGGACACTTGCTGGGATGAGCACTGGGTGTTATTAACATGTAGGGGATAAATCATTGGATTCTACTCCTGAAATCATTATCGCACCATATGCTAACTGGATGTAAATGTAACTTGGATGTAAATTAAAAAAGAAAAACACAACAACTAGACTCGTAAATTGCACTATAAGCTAACTAACATGGATGTAAATTTTTTAAAAAAGCAATCAGAGAACCTGGTTTACTGGATCACTATATTGTACACCTATATGTTAATTATACTTGGCTTTAAAAAAATAAGAAGAGAAGAAAAGAGAAACGTGTATAAAATACATGCCCTGGCTACCATCACATCTATCCTTAACATGACCCACCCCCCAAGGAGAAGTTAAAAGACAAACCCTGAATTTGTGAGTAAGTAGGAATTGCAGGTTACACAGCTGCCGAAATTGTTTGGTGGATCCTGAGCTCACTTCCCATGGACACATGAAGTGTGTAACTAAATATAGTGAAACTCCCTCTGAAAATGACCTGAAGACTAACAGAACCTCTCCCACAGCTAAAGATAAAAAGAAAGCCACATGGAGAAGGGAAGGAGGGGTGGGGTGTGGTCAGAAACCAAATCCGAGGCACTGTGATCCCTGTCACCCATAAGTGGGAGTGAGATCAAGCCCCACAGTGGGCACCCCCAACCTTGGGGATCTCCAATGGGGACATGAACCCCCATAATCTTTGGCTTTGAAAATCAGTGGGGCAGGAGCCAGAAGGCTATAGGGAACTGAGATTCTGCTTTTAAAGGGCCAGTGCATTATATCACTTAGTCTAAGACCCAGCACAGAAGTAGCAGTTTGGAAAGCGTCTGGGGTATATGTGAAGGAGATTTACTTTTTAGGGCATGTGCTGGAAGAGCACAGATCTGTGGGATATTTGTCTATGAATGTAAATACTGGTGGGAGCCAGCTCTGACACTGTCCATCAGTCTTGCTAACGACGCTTGCCCTGCCCCACCAAGTGGGCAGCTTGTTCTGTAGAAGGGTGGGGCCAGCCCTGCCCACCAGCGTACCCACAGAGGTCTTGGCCCAGTCACAACAGCCCACACAGACATCACCCTCGAGTGCATGGTTCTGGTGAGCATCACCTGATTGGATTGTGTCACTGGGCCATAAGGGACGCCTTCTACACAAAGCCACCACTTTTAAGACCAGATGGAGCCAAGCTACCTAATACATAGAAACAAACACAGAGTCAGACAAAATGAGGAGACAGAGTAATATGTTCCAAATGAAAGAACAACATAAAACCTCAGAAAAAGGACTACATGAAACGGAGATAAGCAATCTACCTGATAAAGAATTCAAAGTAATGGTCATAAAAGATGTTCACTGGATCTGAGAGAAGAATGGATGAACTCAGAACTTCAACAAAGAGACAGAAAATATAAAAAAAGAACCAGTCAAAGCTGAAGAACAAAATAACAGAACTGAAAATTACACAAGAGGGAATCAGCAGCAGATGAGGACGCAGAAGAACAGGTGAGTTATCTGGAAGACAGTGCTGTGGAAATCATCCAAACTGAATAGCAAAAAGAAGAATAGAAAAAAAAATGAGGTTAGGTTAAGAGACCTCTAGGTCAACAACTATACTGACATTTGCATTATAAATTCCTTGAAGGAGAAGAGAGAAAAAAAAGGGCCAGAAAACCTATTTGAAGAAAAAATAGGTGAAAATTTCTCTAACCTGGAGAAGGAAACAGATAGCCAGGTACAGGAAGGTGGAGGGTTCCAAACAAGATGAACCTAAGGAAGTCCACATAATAACTAAAATGTCAAAACTTAGGGGTGCCTGCATGGCTCAGTTGTTAAGTGTAGGACCTCAGCTCAGATCATGATCTCATGGTTTGTGGGTTCAATCCCCGCATCAGGCTCTGTGCTGACAGCTCAGAGCCTGGAGCCTGTTTCAGATTCTGTCCCTCCCCTGCTCTCACTCTATCTCTCTCTCTCAAAAGTAAGTACACATTTAAAACATGTCAAAAATTGGGGCGCCTGGGTGGCGCAGTCGGTTAAGCGTCCGACTTCAGCCAGGTCACGATCTCGCGGTCCGTGAGTTCGAGCCCCGCGTCGGGCTCTGGGCTGATGGCTCAGAGCCTGGAGCCTGTTTCCGATTCTGTGTCTCCCTCTCTCTCTGCCCCTTGCCCGTTCATGCTCTGTCTCTCTCTGTCCCAAAAATAAATAAACGTTGAAAAAAAAATAAATAAAACGTCAAAAATTAAAGATACAGAGAAAGGCAACTAATTACATATAAAGGAAACACCATGAAGCTATACACTGATTTCTCAGGAGAAACCTTCACAGAAGGTAGCAGTGTAATATATACAAAGTGGTGAAAGGAAAAAAAAAATCTACAACGAAGAACACTCTACTCAGCATTCAGAATTGAGGGAAATTTATAAAGAGTTGCCCAGGCCAAAAAAAGTCAAAGGAGTGCATCACCACTGAACTGGCCTTACAAGAAATGTTAAAGGAACTTCCTGAAGCAGAAAAGAAAAGGCCTTAACTAGAAGTAAGAAAATTATGAAAGGAAGAAGTTTCACTGGTAAAACAGTTAAAGATAGCAGATCATTCACTTATAAAACTAGTATGAGGGTTGAAAGACAAAGAAGTAAAATCAACTGTATCTACAATAACTACTTAAGGGATTCACAAAATTAAAAAAATGTAAACTTTGACATTATATACATAAAAGGGGGAATAAAAATGTAGTACTTTCAGAATGTGTTGGACTTAAGCAAACTGCCAACTTAGAATACTATATACCTAGGATGTTATTTATGAACCTCAAGGTAACCACAAATCAAAAAACCTGTAAAAGACACACAACAAATAAAGAGAAAGGAATCCAAGCACAATATCAAAGAAAGTCATCTAATCACAAAGAAAGCAAGAGAAGAGCTATGAGAGGAACTCTGAAAACAACCAGAAAACAAAAAACACCAATAAGTACACACCTTTCATTTTAAATATAAACAGACTAAATGGTCCAGTCAAAAGACACAGGGTTACCTAATGGATACAAAAAAACCCAAGAGCTATCTATGTGCTGCCTATAAGAGACTCACTTCAGACCTAAAGACATATACAGACTTAAAGTGAAGGGATAGGAGAAGATATTCCATACAAATGGAAGCAAAAAAGCCAAGGTAGCAAATATTTAAAAATTTACAACAGACAAAAACAGACTTTAAAGTAAAGGCTGTAATGACACAAAGAAGGGCACCGCATAATGTTAAAGCGATCAATCCAAAAAGAGGACATAACAACTGTAAATACCCATGCACCCAACACAAGAGGCCCTATATTTTCCAGATACAGTAAATATTAATGGACTAAAGGGGGAAAATTGTCAGTAATACAATAATAGTAGGGAATTTTAACACCTCACTAACATCAATGAATAGATCATCCAGGCAGAAAATCAGTAAGGAAATCATGGCTCTGAATGATGCATCAGACCAGACAGACTTAATAGATATATACAGAACATTCCATCCCTCCACCCCCAAATAGCAGAATACACATTTTTCCAAAGAAGACATCCAGATGGCCAACAGAGAAAAGAGTCATCAGGGAAATGCAAATCAAAACCACGAGATAACAACTTACACCAGTTCAGGATGGCCACTCTCAAAAAGACAAGAAGTAACAAGTGTTGGGAAGAATGTGGAGAAAAGGGGACCCTCTTTCACTACTGGTGGGAATGCAAACTGGTGCAGCCACTGTGAAAAACAGTATGGAGATTCCTCAAAAAATTAAAAAATAGAACTACCCTATGATGCAGCAATTCCACTTCTGGGTATTTTTCCAAAGAAAGCAAAAACCATTAATTTGAAAAGATATCTGTACCCTTATGTTTATTGCAGCATGACTTACACTAGCCAAATATGGAAGCAACCTAAGTGTCCACGGATAGATGACTGGGTAAAAAAGATGTGACACACACACACACACACAGGATTATTACTCAACTATAAAAAAAGAGTATTTTTCTGGGGCGCCTGGGTGGCTCAGTCTGTTAAATGTCCAACTTTGGTTCAGGCGATGATCTCATAGCTTGTGAGTTCAAGCCCCACATCGGGCTCTGTGCTGACAGCTCAGAGCCAGGAGCCTGCTTCCGATTCTTTCTCTCTCTCTCTCTCTTGGCCTCTCCCCTGCTCATGCTCAGTCTCTCTCTGTCTCTCAAAAATAAAACATTAAAAACAAACTACAGAAAGTATTTTTCCTATTTGTGACAGCAGGGATGGACTACGAGGGGTTTATGTGAAGTGAAAGAAGTTGGACAGAGAAAAGCAGATACCAAATGATTTCACTTCTCTGTGGAATCTGAAGAACAGAATAAATGAACAAACAAAACAGAAACACTCATAAATCCAAACACACTGGTGGCTGCCAGAGGGGAGATGGGGCGGGGGGATGGGTACAGTAAGTGGAGGTTATTAACAGTACGAATCTCCAGGTACACAACAAGTCACAGGGATGTAGAGTATAGCACAGGGGACACAGTCCGTGATCTCATAATAACACTGTATGGTGACAGATGGTAACTGCACTTACCTGGGTAACATTTCATAACGTATAGAAGTGTCAAATGACTGTCGAACACCTGAAGCCACTATAATATTGTATGTCAAGTATACTTCAATTAAAAAAAAATAGCATTTCAAATGCAAATGAGGTTCTTGGCTCTGAAATTTGTGTTCGTACAGCGGCAAGCGTGTTTTAAACAAGGGATTCAGTGTGAAGACGACACCCCAGATACAAGCCCACAGACCGTGGCCGCTGGTCTCGCTTACTTACCTCTGGAAGGGAGGACGGGGCACCACGTGTCTGCTTGATGGCCTCCTCGTAGCGGGGAGGGTCTTTTGTCTTGGGGACCGGGCTCCCAAACAGGGAGTGCTGGACGACGCACTGCTGGGGTGGAGGGGGCGAACTAGGCTGAGGCAAAAAGAGGAGGGCACATGTCAGGTCTGGGCAGTGAGCTCAGAGAGCGGCTGAGTCACGGCGCTCCTGAACTCAGGAGCCTTCTCACCTCCAGCCTGTGTGGCCGATGGCACCGGGGCACCAACCTGTGAGGGAAGGGTCATCTGTTCCGCGATAACAGCCAAGCTGCCCCTTAACAACCGTCACCACGGTCTTTGGCTATTTTGTCCCATTAATATTGATACTCAGTCCCTCCACGCCCGAAGCACTGGGTTCTGCAATGCCTTAGGGCCCCATGAGCAAGCACTGTTACTGCTGCCCCGTCCGCACAGCACTACCTTGTTGGAAGCGGTAGGTCCATTCTGCAGGGAGGCAAGTGGTGCGCTTCTGGACTGAAGAACACTGGTGGAGGTCTTGTTCACAAAGGGCTGCTGGACCGCTGGAGCAGGTGGTCTCTCATACGGAAGAACTGAATTTGATGCCGAGTTCGTGAAAACCTGTAACGGACAAATATTTTCCATTCAATCTGTTCTTTGGCTCTTCCTGCCGAAGAAAACCATGTTTTAGGACGAGGCTCGGCAGACTTGCCCTGTAAAGAGCCACCACGTGTGCAGCTTAGGGTCTGCAGGCCACGGGGTGTCTGCTGGAACTGTTCACCTCTGCCACTCTGGCCCAGAAGCAGTTTGGACAACGCATAAATCAATGGGTGGGGCTGGCTCCCAATAACTTTATCTACGGAAACAGGTGGGGCGCTGGAGGTGGCCCTCAGGCCGTGGTCTGCCGACCCCGATTTTCCAGCATCCGTGGTCCCTTTACTCAGTGGCCTGTCTTTGATGGCGGTGTGGACTGTACCTTCTGGGAAATCAGCGCTTGCTCAGTATGATTTCTGTCTCAGGCGATAGCTGAATTTCTCATATTCCTCACCAGGGTGGTCTCATCTACTTTCACAGCTTTCATGTCCACGATTAAGCTAATAATCCCCAAACCCACCTCTTTTCCACCCTCGCTTCCAAGTGCCAAAGCCACATTTATAACCTTTATTTACAAACATAAATTCAGGACATCTCAAATGTAATATATTCCAAACGAAACTTTCCCCTTTCCTTCCACCACCACCAGCCTCGGAGGAAAAGTAATTCTTGGTTTTCCCTTCATTTATTTTTAAAACTTTGGTAAACGGAGCCATCAGTCTCCTCTGCTGTCTCCCTTCAGTGCTCACACGCCTTACAAATGCCTCCTGAATCAGGCCTCTGTCCTCCGCTGTCCTAATCCAGGTCCTTGCTCCTGATCACGGGAGTACCGTGGCATCCTCTTCACTGTGCCGCCCTCCCTGTCGACCCTCTGCTACAGTTACAGCCTCAGCACACACCTGATGGAACCCCCCACAATCCCTGGCTCCTCTGTCCTTACGGTAAAACCCTCCTCTCTGGCTGGCACAAAAAGCTTCCACCACCCGGACCCATTTCTGTCCGACTGGAAAGGCCACACAGGCTGCGGCCACACTCAGGTTTTCAGTTTGTTGAAAGTGTCTCCAAATCCTTGCAGGGCCCCATTTAAAATCTGCCCCCTTCTGAGAAGCTGGCCTCTGCTCTGTCAGGGAGCGGTGAGGACTCCCTCCTGTGGAACTAACAAGTGTCTGTTTAGCCCCCATCACGAGCCAAAGGTCTTATGGCCTTTTACAAATGTATGGTCACTGTGTGATTTTGTGATTGTATTTCACAGAGCTGATTTACTCATAAAAATATTTTATGTACTTTATACCACTAGTATTCTGAAAGAGAAAAACTTACCTCTGCGTTTCTATTGTAAACATACATATGTATTTCTTAAGTGGGCAAGTATATGTGCGTGCGTGTGTGTGTGTGTACCCACCCCTTCAAAAGGTACAGCTGCTCTGGGCGAGGAGTTCTGGAAGCATATTCCTCTTTGAAAAAGCTGGAATTAATGATCCCTAATTCTAGTATTGAGACTTAGTGAATAAACCCTTATTTCTCCTGTCTATATCCTGTTTTTCTCTCTCTTCTCTTAAAGAAAACTGTCTTAACATTGGAATGTTCACTGAGGCGATCACCACCCTAGAATGTTATTGTGAGCCCAAAGTCAGTAATATGCTGCTGTAACTCACTGCATTTCCCAGAGGAGATTCCAGAAGAGAGCACATGATAATGTGACTACTGATGACCTCAGGCGTCAATTTCTGTCTGCTGCTCAAGTGATCTTAGCCCAGACGGTTCACGCTACCTTGGGGCATGTCTACAGGTACACCTAATTATCCAAGTTCTTTTATGTTGAAGATTAACATTCTGGGACTAATAATTCTCAAGGTTAAAAATAATAAGACGTATTTTTGAGGCCTTAAGAGTTTTCTGTCAAGGAGATGTGCACACAGCTCCACCTGCTGGGTAAGAGGGAATTTTTGTAACTTCTGGGCTATTCGACATCACAGTTTTTTGGTAGGAACACATGGAGGGGTTACTGAGTCCTAGACCAACACGGTCATCTGAAAGATGAGGAAAATGACACTCAGAGGAAGTAAGTGAATTTTGCATAAGGCCAAACCTGTAGGAAGTGGGGAACCAGAATCCGCACACCTGGGCCCTCTGGCTCTTAGCCCGCAAGATGGCAAACTCTTAAATATATAAAGATCTTATTCAAAGTAGACACTGAAAAAGTATCTTTTTCGACTTCAACTATTTCTTCCCAGGGAACAGCACTTCCCCCTCCCCCACAAGATGATTAATTTGAAAAGAAATTTATTTTAGAACTCAAAAAATCCTACACGAGGATTAAAAACAAACTTTTGAAACTTTTACTTGGAAAAGGGCTTTAACTGTTAAGATGACTGGTCTTTCAGTAAAAAAGAACCCTTTTTCCCTAATAACTGCATAATCTGCAGCCGGATGGCAGGTGGCCTGAGGCCCATCCAGTGGGAGGTGCTTCCCACGGAAGAGACCGCTATGAGGACACTTGCAGAATGGCTGAGCAGATGACGGTCACCATCGGCGACGGCCTGTCGCTCGTTAGCATTCACCAACCTTTCTAACTTGCTGAGGCTGACTGAGCACATGTGGCGTGAAAGCTTCTTGCTTCTGAGGTACGGTCTGGGCTAAGCCTGAGGACAGGGTGGTGGCTGCTGTCTGCGGCTGAGTCTGAGTCTGGATTCCTGCTTGTGGTGGGGTCTAGGAAGCAAACAAAATATTGATTTAATTATCAAAATCAAACTCGGAATCAAGAGTGTAGGTGTGGGGGCACCTGGATGGTTCGGTCAGAAGAGCATGGGACTCTGGATCTTGGGCTTGTGAGTGGGAGCTGCAAAGTTTGGGTTGAGTTTGGGCGTAGAGGTTACTGAAAAAATACATACATAAACTGAAAACAAAAAAAAGAGTTTACATGTGCAACATGCGATCATGTGGGGAACATATCTGAAATGAAGTGATAAAATACTTACAGATAGATACACACTTCATCGACAACACAGTTTGAACCTTAATTCTAAACCAGAGACCTAACACCAGACCAGTTTTTTTCACGCTCTTATTATTTCTTAAGTGGCTAAGATTTTCATTGGGGAATTTTGAGAAAACGGAAAACTGAAATAAAAACCTATAGTGGCTCTACACACAACAGGTCAGGCGTGACAATAATTTTAACAGCAGCAAGAAAATCTGAGGCCTAACTGCCCAAACAGTATGTGCTCCCTCTGGAGACAGTCAGCTATGTGCTGGGGCACACACGGGCCCAGAATGGAGAATGTCAACTCTAATGGAAGATTTGGATGGAAAAATACATGTTCAGAAAAGCTGTGTCACAGAGTAGACTTTGAATTTCACAGACAGTCTAAAGGTCAGACAGGAGAATTAGAATGCTTGCACATGCCAAGGGCCTCTGGGTCATGCTTCCTAACCTCAGGGGCACAACCCACTGGTCTCTGCCATGAAGAGTATGTGGGTGGGGGGGGGTGGTGGTCAAAGCTGAGGAGCACTGTCCCAGGTGGTTTCTGTTCACCTGTCACCCACCCACTGTGTGAAAACCTACCAAACGCACTGCATAAAAACAAGGTCAATACACAGGTTATGGAGGAGGCATAAAAGGAGGTTTCGTGCTTACCAGTGTTTTATCAACTCCCTCAACACCTTCACTCCTAAGTTTGTGGTCACATTTTCCTCAGATGCCCCACATGCCTCAGGCATCTTGACTTCAATGGTGTCTTTCGAGAACCACGTTTAGGAGGCAGAACACACGAGTGGGCGTAAAAGTAAAGGCCGGGCAGTTAAAAAGCCCGGCTCTGTCCTAGAGCAACTTACCCAACGTTTCAAGGCCTCAGTTTCTCTACCTCAAAATGGGTGCCATCACTTAGATCTTCTGGGGGGAAGGGAGAGCTGAAGGGAGTGAGCCATTTAAAATACACGGAGGAGGGGCGCCTGGGTGGCACAGTCGGTTAAGCGTCCGACTTCAGCCAGGTCACGATCTCGCAGTCCGTGAGTTCGAGCCCCGCGTCAGGCTCTGGGCTGATGGCTCGGAGCCTGGAGCCTGTTTCCGATTCTGTGTCTCCCTCTCTCTCTGCCCCTCCCCCGTTCATGCTCTGTCTCTCTCTGTCCCAAAAATAAATAAACGTTGAAAAAAAAAATTAAAAAATAAAATAAAATAAAATAAAATACACGGAGGAGCATGTGACTCTCGATCTCGGGGCCATGAGTTGGAGCCCCATGCTGGGTGTAGAGATGACTTAAATAAATAAGAAAATAAAGTACGTGATCCTGTGCCTTGCACACAAAAAGCACTCAGCGACACCAGCTATTCTCACGATACTGTAACCGGTATCTCAAAATGTCTGCACGTTCGCTAACGATACCGTGTTCACTAAAGATAAAAGCAATCAAAAGCAGGAAAGCACCGCTTGCTTGTTTTAACTAGGTGGAGACAATGCTAGCTATTAACATTTCTGAATTAAATTCCAGGCCCCCGCCCCCCACGCACACATTTTCTGCACCTCTGAGGCCCGGCTGGGGTGCATGTATGAGAAGGCTGGGGCGCTCGCCATAAGGCAAGTTTCCGTTCCATGCAGGCTGTAAGGCAAAGGAGTTAGAAGACACACTTCACACCTGGAGTCTGAGGCTGCCTACTGGGAGTTGCACTGAGGTGACATTGGAGCCCTGGATGGACAGCGGCAGCAGCAGCTGAGCGGTTTGTGTGGTCAGTAAAGCCTGAGGCTGAGCGACAACGGCAGGCGGCGGCTGTCCCTGGGAACTCACGTAAAACTGTGGGATGACGCTCTGCTGCTCGGCCTGGGCCACGGGGACCTCCTGCTTGACCACTACGGCCTTTTTGGCAACCAGGGTCTGGCCACCCGCCGAGACAGGCTGGCCCACAGGATGGCTGGCCAGCGGGCCAGGCCGCCTGGGGCTGGAGCAGTCGGGCAGCGCGGTCTCGTCCTTGACGGGGGAGCCCACGCCGCCATGCTTCGGATCTAACTTGCCGGCAGAGCTGGCCGCGGCACCGGGCTGGGGTTCCAGCGGCTGCTGCTGCTGCTGCCGCTGCCCTCGCTTTTCAACCTCAAGCTGCATTTTCAGAACTTCCACGAGCTTCTGCTCCTGTTCCAGTTTCCTCTTTAGCTCCTCGATCTGCTTCTCTTTCTCCTGCAGCTTGCGGTCCTTCTCGGCCGCGTCCAGTTCCAGACTCGACAGCGTGCTGCTGGCGGGACTCGGGCTGTCCTCGCTGCCCGTCACTCTCAGCGGCGACGAGCACAGGAACTGCGCGGGAGACATCATGGTCATGATCTCGGTGAACGTGTCTGCCATGCTTGTGTCCTCGGTCCCGAGACTGGACTGCTCGGAGGGGGAAGGCGAGATGGGCAGGGGGGAGCTGACGCTCTCGGCGTGGGCGACGTTGCTGCTTCCGGCAGGCGGCAACTCTGCCTTGAAAGAGGGGCCTGAGCTCGTCACGGAGTTGTGCAGCGTTGTCACCGGCAGTGCCACGGTGACTTCTGGGTTGCTGGCGACGATGGCAGACGCTGGCACCGCCAGGACGCCGCCGGCAGCAACAGCGCTGCTGCTCACTTCCTGGTAGGGCTTCAGGCGTTCGATGAGGTCCGGTTTGGTGCCCGACACCGGAAGACCCCGTAACTTCAGCTCCGTCTTCAGTTCCGACACCTGCAAGTACAAACAAATCACGTCTCTTCTCTCGGTACCGCAACTCCCGACAGATCTACAGGACGCCCAGACGCAAAAGGTGCCTACCGCCTGTCAGCTCCACGTTACCATGCAGGGGCAAAGGGGACGGTTTCTCTTCCCGACGCACACACAGCTACGGACCTGTGGCACTGGGAAGGCTGGAGGTAAAGCAAGGGCTTTTAGAGGGTAATTCCTGTTCTGTCTGAGGATTTACAATCAGAAATCGTGACGAGGACAGTCACATTCATTGAGTAATTACCACGTGCCACACACTGATGGAAGTGCTTTATAGTTTGTCTTTTCTCTTCTTTTCTTTTCTTTTTTTTAAAGCAGACTCCATGCCCAGCGCAGAGCCCAACTCGGGGCTCGAACTCACGACCCTAAGATCAAGACCTGAGGGGAGATCCAGAGCTGAACGCTTAAGTGACTGAGCCACTCAGATGCCCCTATTCTTACAATTAATCTTCACATGAGGTGTGGGTGTTATTATTATTATTCCTAGTGCACAGATGAGGAGATTGGGGCAGTGAAAGGCAGACCGTTATGTCTGACCTACCGTGGATAACCAGAAGCTGAGCTGAGGGAGGAAGCCTATGCAGTCTGGCCTCGGAGAGGAGATTCTTGACTGTTAACATTTTCCTGCTTCTCCCAACTCAGCAAGGAGCGGGGAAGAAGAAAATCTCCCTCTGCGGCCACAAGTGTTCTGGTGCCCACACATGGTCTATGCTCAACAAATCAGAGTTATTACTGATTGTCTTCAAAGAAACTTAATGGACGTAAACAGACAGTACCCCTGAAAAGGTTATCTTACTGTTGGTAAAGCTGAAGGTCTATTGAAAACTTACCTACACCTCAGACAGATGTGGCCAATCATTTCTGTTTTTGTGGTAATTACGGGTGAATAAACTCTACTTTGAAGTATTACCTTTAAGTCATCCAGGCTAGAAGGCAGGGGCCCCGGCTTTCTCACGGAAGCAGATGGATTCTGTCTTGGTGTATTAGGCGTGGTGCTGTTCAGAGCTGAATTTCCACTGTTGTTATTTTTGTCATTGAGTGGCCTTCAAAAGGAAAAGAAAATTAGACTTGATAATAAAATCATGTCTGAATTTGATCCTGCTTCTGCTAACGACTTGACTGTTAATGTGTGAAGAGAAAATCATCATGGTCGTGGATTGGAAGACTCAAGAGTATAAAGATATCAATCAAATGAGACCCCCCCTGCAAGTTTTGCTTGCTTGCTTGCTTGCTTGCTTGGTAGAAATTCTGAAGGTGATTCTGAGCTATATATGGAAACACAAAGGACCAAGAATGGCCATGGCATCACTGAAGGAAAGCAAAGCTGGAAGAGCCATACCACTTATCAAAACTCATTATAAAGCCAGTTATTAAGATGGTGTGGTGCTGGTACAAGGGCAGAACAACAAATGGAAGAGAACAGAGAATCCAGAAACAGACCCTCACATATAGAGCCTCTTGAGTTATCGCCAAGATGGCACTGAAGTGCACTAGCAAGAGGGTGGTCCTTACAATAAATGGTGCTGGGCCACCCTGGATATTCACACAGATAAAAATAAGGCCCTTAACTGACCCCTACACCTCACACCATCTCAGAAACCTAAACGTGAATTATGAAAGCAGTAAACTTTTAGAAAACTTAGGGTAATATTTCAGGGTGCCTGGGTGGCTCGGTTGGTCGAATGTCTGACTTCAGCTCAGGTTGTGATCTGGTGGTTTGTGGGTTTGAGCCATGCGTCAGGCTCTGCACTGGCTCACTCTCTCCCTCTCTCTCTGCCTCTCCCTGACTTGTGCTCTTTTTCTCTCAAAAAAAAAAAAAAAAAAAAAAGAAAAGAAAAGAAAAGAAAACTTAGGATAATATCTTCATGGCCTTTGGGTAGGGAAAGATTTCTTAAACAGGACACAAAACACACTAAGGGAGACAGCTTTAAGAGTGAAAAGTCAAATCATAGGAGAAGGTACTTGTAATACATATTTCTTTTTTATTTTATTTAACTTTTCAGTATTTATTTACTTTTGGGAGAGACAGAGTGTGAGCGGGGAAGGAGCAGAAAGAGAAGGAGACACAGAATCTGAAGCAGGCTCCAGGCTCTGAGCTGTTAGCACAGAGCCTGATGTGGGGCTCAAACCACAAACCGCAAGATCATGACCTGGGCCGAACTTGGACACTCAACCGACTGAGCCACCCAGGTGCCCCTCTAATACGTATTTCTGACAAGGCATCATATCTAGAATATACAAAAAAAAGTCTCACAAATCAGTAAGAAAAAGACAAAACGCAATGGGAAAACCCTGAACAAGCATATCACAAGAAAATCTATCCCAACGGTCCTTAAACGTGTGAACAAGGGCTTAACACCTCATCAGACACGAGGAAAATGGAAAAAGGCACAACAAAACAGCACTGCACATCCAGCAGAACCGCTGCTGTAACGAGTAAGACGCCAATACGAAGCACTCGGAACATCGAGAGCGCTCAATCACGGCTGGGAGAAGTGTGAATTGGTACAACCACTTCGCAGAAGTGTTTTATGTTATCTACTAAAGACAAACCTGTGCCTAGCCTCTGACCCAATTCCATTCCTCGAGGGACACCTGACAAAAATCTACATACACGAACCAAAACACACAGGTCAGAAAGCTTAGTATGGCATTATTCATAACAGTCCCAACCGGAAACAACCCAACTGTCCACCAAGAGGATGATGGGTGGATAAATGATAAAATACTAGACAGGAATAAAAATTAACTACTTCTATCTGCACCAGTAAAGATGCATCTCACGAACACAATGTTGAGCAGAAGAACTCACGTGCGTACGTATACCGTTAAGACTGCATTTATATAATGTTCAAAAAAAGGCAAAACTAATCAATGGGAGAGAAGTCAGGTAGTCACTGAGGGGGGATGCCAGGGGGCTTCTTGGGGTACTGACATTCTATTTCTGGATTTAGGTGTGGTTATGGAGGTGTGTTTACTTAGCAGTGATTTTCAGTTATGATTTATGGACTTCTCTATCACTTAACACTTCATTTAAAAAGGTGATTTAAAAAATGTGTTTTATTTCTGTACTCATCTTCCCAGCAGAACCAGGTCCCCATCTAGCTTCTTCCCCCTAGGATACTCTTGGCAACAATGACATTTCCTCCCCTGGGTGGTTGACACTGTACAGCCAATTCCATTAGAGCCTCACGCTTTATCCTTACATGAGTCTTGGTGCTGAAGCATGGAGACTCTGACTTCCATGTTCTGAAACAGGGACCTGATGTTGCTTATGGGGAGAGGTCCCTGCTTAGATGAGCTTTGTCCAGTGGGTTTTTGGAAGATTGTGTTTGAAGCCATTTCTGGCCCTGTGAACAGCTAACTCTTGACATTCATCTGGGGTCTTTGAAAACCTGCCTAAATTTTATGGAAGTTAAATACTTTAAGTGTTTGCAACGAAGTTTCTTGAAATTTGGGTGGGATGACAAATATTTTATGTATCATTTATTTCCTTTCTAAAAATCCAGTTTTAAAATCTTCTATTAGAATTATGAAAACATTTTATGTAAATCAGAACTTCTCAACCTTACTTATTTTCATTACTGTCTCCACAAGGAGACTTTCTGCGAATTTTTTTTCCCTAATCGACCTCCCAGTGAAATCTTAATACCCTCGGGGATGTACTGTGTAATCACCTACATACCGTATATGTGTCTGTGCTCTCTTCAATCACAAGTGCAGGACTCCCCCGAACCAATTTCTGCTCCCTTGTGAACAACAAATTATTCTATTGGTGCGTTTGGTTGAGATTCTATAATGCTTTACATGTTACTACGATTAACAGTTCAGTGCCTGCTTCAACCTTCGAAATAACGAGAGTAAGTTGGACCTAGATTTTTTTTGTCCAGATCCACAAAGACAGAAAACATGCTGTGGGGGGACCCTGACAAATGTGATGTCTGTGTGGATGAGAAACCTGAAGTCCAGACACCTGAAAGGACCCTCCAGGAGCCCCCGTCAGTGTGTGGCTACAGCCCCATCTCCCAAGGTACCAGGGGCTGTGTTATCAGGTCAAATCTCACTGCTGTGGAGCTACAGACTTCTGCATTCAGCTTCCTGTACTGGAATTTTGGTGAAAAGAAACACTGTTTTAGAAAACAACACCTCCACTGTCAGGACCCGGAAATTAAACAGAAGTGACGTTCAGTCTTTGCGTGGTGCAATAATACACAAAAGTAAGTGACCTTTCCCCCTCTGTGTCCCCGGATCTTTGTGTGTGATGCTCTTCGGGGCTGAGTGGCGTGGCTGCTATGGTGGTGGGGGTGTTTGTGGAGGACAGGGGACCGGCAGCCTTAGTGGAAAGACAAAGAAACATTAGAGACCAGATACTCAGCTCCTCAGATGTACTCTTCCCATCTACAAACTGGCCCCACACAGTCGATTTCTTTCATTACAGAAAAGACTGTTTCATAGATACTACAAAAATCCTTTTATGGGATTTTCAGTTGTCCGGGTTTCCTCACCCGGGAGTGCGGTCAGTAACGTCACCTCCTCCTGGAGTTACGGTGAGGGGCACAGGGATGTCAACGTCGAGCACACTGCTGGGTGCATCGTAAGGAGCGCGCACAGGGGAGCCAGTCACCGCTCGTGTCCCTGCTGCCTGATGCCAGAGGAGGGAGGCGGCAGGGGAGGACGCCTCCCTCGGGCCTGGACGGAGCTGCAAAGCGGCGGTGGTCTGCGTCTGATGCGCTTCCAATCCTCTTTGGTCTTCCCTGGTTCCCTTCCAATGTCAACATCTCACTCAGGCCTGCTTGCTCTTAAAATAATAACATGCTACAAAAATTCTTTCTTTCTTCATCTCTGTGCCCTGATGTTTTAGATTTACGTACTCCACAGTAAGGTCCAAATGACTAATAGGTCTAATCTTCCTCGAGATATCAGGATCTTAAAAGAAAAAAGCGCATTGATAATCACTAGCATATGAGGAGACGGTTCTTAACAGAGGAGCTTTTTAGCGGATCTCACTCCTTGTCTGCTCCTAGGAAACAGGGCTCCCTGTGGTGGAATGCTCAGCGTATGCGGAGAATATCCGAGTCGAATTTCCACACACCACACGGATCACGAATTGAGTGGCCTGCTCACTGAGAAAAACTTTCAACTCGAATAAACTTTGCACCTTTTTGTACAGTTTGTCTTGTGAGGCCCGTGTAAATGTCCCTTTCTCCTGATAACTGAGGGAAATGAGAGACGAGGTATTTTCATTTTTACCCAGGTTTCCTGGAAAATGCACACTGAGGATGGAGATCTAGAAATTTCCTTCTGTACATAATTAAAGTTCACTATGGATGTCTTGCTGTGGATTCAGTCTCAGAAGCTGTCAGAAGTCACTTCCTTCTGTCTCTCTCAACTGGGCTCAGACTTTGGAAACGTGTTCCTTCTCCACAGTTGTTGGTCACCAAGACCTTGAACTGTCTTGGAAACCTCTCTCATCTGTTCTTTCCCTCCCCTTATCAATGCCCTCATCTTCTCACATCTCCTTTATTGTGAAATGTCTGTCTTGCCTGCTGCCAGACTCCCCTCGGTGACCAGCATCTCACTGTCCTTTCCTGCACTGTGGCGTCACCACTACAGCCCTCTGAATCACCTACCACGTCAAGATTCAAGGCTGCCCGGCTTCAGATTCCTCTGGACGGCGGCTCTACTCAGTTTTGTCTTCTACTTTTCATCCCGTTCCTTATTCAGGCTATTCTCCCCGTCATCCCATCAACAGGCATGGCCCGCTCCTTCCTCTGTCCTCCCACGGGGGGTGCGGGCGGGCGATCACTCTCCTTTGTGTGAAAGGGCCCCGCCCCAGTTTCGGGCTCTTTCCCACAGAGGTATCCTGCCTGCTTTCATAAAGCTTTCCTTGACCACTCCGGCTTCTACACTCATCCCCCCGCACCCCGCCTTTTTTAGGCTGTTTATAACAAGACTCTCGCTCCTTACACTTTTGTCGTGGCGCCTAATACTACGTGGCAAACAACAGGCAGATCTCTCCTGGGCGAGTAATTGTGACGAGGCACCGCTACCGTGAAAGGTCAAGGCTCGGAACCTATCTCGGAGGACAAACCCTGGACTCACTGGCACGAGGGCAAGACGCCGCGGGACGGGCTTCGAGGACCAGGCAGTGAGACCGATCGCTGAGCGCAAGCGCCCCACGACATCCACCCCCTAGGAACCAGGGACGTGGCCCGCGCCGCCCCCGGCCCCGTACTTGAGCGGCGCGGGCAGGATGGTCTGGTAGTTGTAGTGCTGCTGCTGCTGGCTCAGGATCTGGAGCTGCAGGAACAGCTGCTGCTGCTGGAGCAGGCGGGCGTAGTTGGAGTCCATCTGGGGCTCGCTCTTCTCCCCCTTCTGGTCGGGCGGGATGTACTGGTGGTACTTGAGCTTCTTCACCCGCGGCTTGGGATCTTTGCACTTCTTGCCCCGGTGTTTGTCGTTAGGGTTCTTGGGATGGCTTTGCTGTTTTCGAGAGAGAGACAGGAGCATTGTAAGAGGCGCCATCACACGCGGCCTGTTCTACCGTGTGCCTGAACGCTCTGACGGTGACGTCAAAGAGCAAGGCGCCTCAGAAACTGGCGTAGCCGCTTCGGAAAGCAGTCCGCCGAATACGCTGCCACAGCTACGGAAGCGTGGGTCTACCTCCCTGGGCCGAGCAATCCGGCGCCTGGGGCTCAGCCGGCTGAGCTTCCGACTCTTGATTTCGCCCCAGGTCGTGATCTCACGGTTTGTGGGTTCGAGCCCCGCGTCAGACGCTGAGCGGACAGCGCGGGGCCTGTTTGGGACTCTCTGCCTCTCCCTTGCTCACACCTTCTCTCTCAAAATAAATAAACTTAAAAAAAAAATCTGGCTCCTAAGAACTTAACTTTCTCCTGTTCCTTGTTTTCTTACAGTAGGGGAAGGATATACTCCACTGAGCATTATCTATTCAAGTTCAACAAAGTTACTTTGGGTTTCCTGTTTAGACACACTTGTGTCTATTGTCTCCTAGTGAAAAAGAGGCTGTACGCCAAACATACAAATGGGAAAGGATCAGGTATGCTTCCCCCTGTGTCCTGTCTTGCAGTCATTAAAAATATACTCTATAGAGACTATGTAAAAACAGAAGAGTGCTTCTAATGGAACAAAGCAGACTATAAAGTTGTGTGTTTCTGAGGAAAACACAAACACACACACAAAATACTGCAATACAATTAAATTGGTAAAAAAAAAAATCAACCAATTACCTGTTGGTAAGGGAGGGGGGCAGGCACGTAAGAACCACTGTTCCCCAGACGAAATCTGCTCTTATTTCTTCACTCGCACATTCTCTCAGGAAGGGAGGGAGGGAAACAGCTTTCCTCACAAAAACCCAAAGAACTGTGGTCTGTTTCCCAGTACGTACCTGTCTTCTCCTCTGCTAGCAGAGTCCCAGGATCGCCTACCCAGCCTCGGAATGTCACATTCTTAAAGGATGCCTTTTGCCCCAGAATCAAAGCCCTCCTTAAAGAGGCACTCACTAGTGAAGAGGAGAAATTCAGAGGAGAGGAGAGGCAGAGACCTCTTAGGATCCACAGGGAAAGACGCACTGGCGTTCAAACAGTCTTTGTGCCATCAGTGGTACGTGTTTGCGGACGTGGGCAGAGGGGTGCGAGCGGGCATCAGCTCAGCTGCCGCTTGCCACACTCTGGAATTTCGGGCTCCAAGAAGGAGTGATGGAAGACGCTGAAATGCACTGATCTGTGCCCTGAAGCCACAAACGCTGGGCCACCCTGACAAAGAGAGGCTGGAATAGAAACAGAGCCTTCTCTGCAGGAGGGATGAGGACCAGGAGAGTGCCAGAGGGTAGCCGGAAGAAGCGAGGAATCCGCCCCAGGTACCTCCCCTGGGAGAGCGCAGCCCTGTGTTCACCCGGAGGCAGAAAGAAGGCTCCCAACCCTTCAGGGGGCCTGGGTCCTTCCTGGCCTTGTGACTTCTTCGGGCCTCACTTCCTCATCTGGTAGGTGCAGAGAGGGTCAGCTAGCTCTCTGATGTCCTTTTTTAGTTCTAAAAGTTTGAGATCAGGGTTCTGCTGCTTTTGGCAAAAGCTGTATCGGAACTGTTTAGACTATTCCTCTGTTTATCCCCCCCTTTATTTAGCAGTTCTAAATGGACTTAAAAAAATTTTTTTAAGCCTACTATATATTAAAATTTTTAATCTTCCTTGGGGCCTATTCTAACTGAATTGTTTCACCAAGTAAAATTTAGGGAACAGTGCCACCAATGTGCAGCTTCTCGGAAGAACAAAACGAGCTTCAGCGGGCCAAATCTGCTAAAGCAAAAAACGCATCCGCCTGTCTGAAGCCTCTGACCTGTCATGTGATACATCTGGAGTACCAGTGAGCTTGACCTTGTGTATAAACTCCAAAATTATGTTGCCATTAAAGACGTCTGTTCGTGAGGGGCGTGACTCCCCAGTGCTGTGCTGAAGCGACTCTATCCTACTCTCCTCCCAGTGTGTCTTTCATGTCAGCAGCCTGGATGGAAGCAGGATTGGGAACCGCCGACTAAATGTACCCTCAAGCCTTTCCGCGCGGCTCTGGGAGTTTTCTAGAGACCAAATTTTGTGCAGTTCTTTGGTGACTACAGAACAACAGGGCATCTGCTGAAGGTGGTGGTTTCCAATATTTTTTTTTTTTCAATTTTTTTTTTTTTAACATTTACTTATTTTTGAGACAGAGAGAGACAGAGCATGAACGGGGGAGGGTCAGAGAGAGAGGGAGACAGAATCGAAACAGGCTCCGGGCTCTGAGCAGTCAGCACAGAGCCTGACGCGGGGCTCGAACTCACGGACCGTGAGATCGTGACCTGAGCCGAAGTAGGACGCTTAACTGACTGAGCCACCCAGGTGCCCCGGTGGCTTCCAATATTAAGGCCTGACCTAGCAAGTCTGCCTGTGGGTTTTGTCTTCAAGGCTTCATTCAGGCTGAAAGGCGGGCTAGGAGGTGCAGAAACGTGCCTTTGTGTTCCCCGCATGGGCCACAGACGCGCCGCGAGTAAACCAACCTCACACCGGCGCGTGCCGGGAACCCACCTTCACCAGCGACGGGCCAGGCTTTGCTGAGGACACGGTGTTTGTGGGGAGGACAGGAGCGGGGGACCTGGTCGGGGGCTGATCCGGAGCAGGAGTTTTCAAGAATTCAGGAACTGCTGGGGACACTGAAGTAAACTGCTGGAAAAGGCGGAAAGAGAACAAGCGTGTGAACTCGATGGCATAAAATTAGAAAAACCAGAATTATAAGGGAATGACCTCATTTTCTGAACGTCCCCTAGGAAAGAAACAAAAGAAAAATATACTATTGTGTCTGAGACCCAGATGGCAGAATAACAGGCTTTACGTCAACGGACCCAAGTATTTAGTCTTTGCCCCAATGGCAATGAAAAGCAAAAGCTAAATAAGGTAATTCGATTGACTACACCCTAGTAGTGTTTTCTCAGAAATATGGTCAGAACCGCCCTTTTTTTGGCAGAAGCGAAGTCCAAGACTCTCGCAGAAATGATCAGAACGGTACGTGATACTAGTGAGGTTTTCTTGCTGTATAGATCACAGTCATGCCGGCTGATTTAAACGTGGCATTTACTTTCCCTTATGGGCCCGATCAGTCCCCTCCAGCATACCCCAGATCCACGGCCTGGCAGCATTCAGTAAGCAAGCTGCCACTCCCTGGAGGCCCCTCCACACACATGGGCTTTACAGCTTATGTCCCAGGGTCCGAGCCCGACTAGCACTCTCTTTAACCATTTCCCCATTTCCCACAACAGTTGGGCATCTGAACAATGTATTATTCTAAGACGGCCTTGTTTGACTGAGGGCACTCTCACACCCAAAGCAAGAAGCTAATTTATTACCGAGGTCAAACAAGTAACCACTAAACCTGGGTGTGGTGTCGTATACTAACAGAGGAAGCTACCAAAGGCTTTCATAGCTTTTATCAACAGCCGAAGAGCCTATTTCTGCTGACACTCTACTTTAAGTAGATTTTAAGTATTCACTTACTAGGAAGAGATATTAATTACTATTCTCACAAATCAGTTAAATGTTGCACAGCAATTACTACATGGACTTAACTATTACCAGCCTTAATTTAAGAAAAAAAATCTCTTCCTTTATCACTCTGCTGCCCTGCCCGCAACTCTCAAATTCATTACAAGAATCAAAATCAGTTCTTTTGCTGATGTACTTGGGTTTAAGAATAGCAGACTGTATTTTCCTTCCTTAAAATAAATGACCTGAGAACTCAGAGGCTATTCAGCAGCAAGAAATATGAAGCTTGGCACATACTAGTTATTCAATAAATATTTGTTTAATGGGTGAATGGAAATTCCTTGTGGCTTTACTCATGCTGGGTCACACTCTCAAGGCCGGCTGAGACCGTGAGGATGTGTGTGAGTGTGCAATGAACTGTGCGTGCCCATGATGGCTCTCTCCCTAAGCATGGTTTTCCTTTCGCCACTGATTTCCACTTGTAAATAATTATTACTAACAGTGAGGGTTGACAATAAAAAGACGTGACTTTTGAAAGATGGCTATACGGTAACCCCCTTACCCACGGTTTATCTTTCTGCAGTTTCAGTGACCCATGGGCAACTGTGGTCCTGAAGGAGCCGATCTGCCTCTGACATAGGGTCACAAGGTCAATGACAGCTTAACCCTACATTGCAGGCCTTTGTCATTCACCTCACTTCATCTCCTCAGGGAGGCATTTTTATCATCTCACATCATCAGAAGAAGAAGGGAGTGTACAATCATGAGATATTTTGAGAGTGGAAGCCCACATTCACATAACTTTTATTACACTTGTAACCGTCCTATTTTTACAGTCGTTAATCCCTTACTGTGCCTCCTTTATAAATTAAACTTTACATTGGTATGTACATATAGGAAAAAACCAGGGTATACAGTGTTCTGTGCTATCAGCGGTTTCAGACACCCCCTGGGCCCTGGGAATGCATCCCCTGTGGGTAAGGGGAGAACACTGCACTTGATTTCATTCAAAGAGAAAGTGAAAGAAACGAACTTCTCCAGGAGTCTCGACACCTGTACTCCAGGCTGACTTCTGCCCCCAAATGGCCCTGAGACAGCCGCTTCCTTAACGAACCTCTGACATGAAGGGAAGCTGATGGCCAGCTAAGTCACTGCTTTAAGGATATGGTTTTAAATTATTTGTTTTCCAGGGGCGCCTGGGTGGCGCAGTCGGTTGAGCGTCCGATTTCAGCCAGGTCACGATCTCGCGGTCCGTGAGTTCGAGCCCCGCGTCAGGCTCTGGGCTGATGGCTCAGAGCCTGGAGCCTGTTTCCGATTCTGTGTCTCCCTCTCTCTCTGCCCCTCCCCCGTTCATGCTCTGTCTCTCTCTCTGTCCCAAAAATAAAATAAACGTTGAAAAAAAAATTAAAAAAAAAATTATTTGTTTTCCTCTCACTTTGCACATTTTTTGGAAGTGAGGATATTTATCTCTGGGTCAATTTTCCCATAGGGAAAAACATTCCTTGGCTGTTAAATAATTGGCATATGAAGTAGAATCACATATTTGTGTGTGTGTGTGTGTGTGTGTGTGTGTGTGTGTGTGTGTATGTGTATAATATATATGTATATATGTATATATATAGTATATTTAAAAATTGTATGTACAAAGGTGTGTATATTCATATAGGTGTGTGTGTGTTTTGTTCCTTGCAGATAAATTCTACTAACCTGGCAAGCTATTTTACCCCTCCAGCCCCCCAATGACTAATGCGATTGCAGTGATGCATTTGACAGCTGTCAGTGTTAATAATCTGGAAAATAATCCGGTAGCATAATGTGCTATCAATTATAATATTTATGAAAATGTTTCTCCTGTATTTCTAAGTCCTTGTCTAACTGACTTCAGCCTTGATTACAGATACTCTCATCTTACTAGCTCTTTTCAGTGTGACTCTGCTACCCAGAAAAACAGAGGCCCCCCAACCCCCCACCCCAGCATTAACACAAGAATGACCCAACTGAGATACGGTGATTATTCACATTACCTTATCTGATGATAAATTCTGGTTAAAATGGGAGAAACGTCTAAACTCTTCTTTACATTTGCCAGTCTTTGTTATGTGCCTTAGAAATGACCCCTTAAATAACCTTACATCCTATCTAGACGTTAGGATCCTAGTGACTAGAATTACCCAAAAATCGAGGTATCAGTACTTCTGAAACGACAGTATTCCAAAAAAGATGAAAACAATATACAAGCCATAAAGGACACCACACTTATGTTACCCCATCATAAAGTAAGCAGTATGTTAAAATCTTAAAAGAATACTTCAAATGTTTAAATTTCCACTGGCACCTAAGGTCACCTTTTGTACTTTCAAAATGTAATCTCAAATGATTCGGAATCTTTTCTCCAAGGAAACAAAAGAGCTGCAAGCTTTGCTCTGTTTTATTCGATCTGAGTGCTGTTCCCAAGCTACAGGTCTCATGACCGCCAATTCTTCAACTGTCATCATGACACCGTGACAGACAATGTCAGGAAAACACTGTTGTCTAATGAGGGATACTTAGGCTTTAAACAAAACCGAAAAGATTCAGTCTTTGAATCTTGAAGACTGACTTTTCTCTTCTTAGAAATTGCTAAGGGTAAGTTCTGCTACCAAAGAAAAAAATAAGTCAAGGTAAATGTTTAAGCTGATTATAATTTTATAATGTATCAGGTGTCTGCACTGGTTCCTTCTGAAAAGATGATACACTTGTCAAGGACCAATCACTGTTCTCTGGTAAGTTCCTTTTTTATTAGATTTCTTTATGGAATCCAGAGGGGCAGAAACTAGATATTTAAAAACAAAGTTTTTTTGGACTGGAGATTTTAAGTCTAAAATACATGTGTTTTTAATTTAGGATACAGCACAGATCTTAATTAAGATGGGAATATGCAAATAAGAAATTCAAAATGCAATTATTCTTTAAATATTGTTTCCATACCCTGATCCCCAGACAAATAAAACAAATGCTAGTCAATGAATGGGCTGAATACAAATCAAAAACACATGCTTTGTATATTTAATAGATGGATATTTAATGTAAATTCTAGTTTTGCTAAAATATATCACTTAGCACTGACCACTTTATGTAATACACAGTTACAAGTTAAGATATTTCATTTTTTAAGTTTTTATTTATTTGTTTTGAGAGAAAGAGAGAGCGTGAGCTGGGGAAGGGCAGAGAGAATCCCAAGCGGGTTCTGTGCTGTCAGCACAGAGCCCAACTTGGGGCTCGATCTCATGAACAGTGAGATCATGACATGAGCCAAAATTAAGAGTCGGACGCTTGCAG